GTGCTGCTTCCCCTCTCACAAGAGTCACCTAAGAGGAGAATTCCCCCCATTTTCAAAAATGAAATTCAGGCCCTGAATAAATGTCTAAAAATCCCGATTGGAGTATCACTATAAATAGTTATAAATGATAAAAAGAAGGATTTAAAAAGATCGGTATCGGTGATCGGTATCGGCAGATACTGCTTTCTGTGATCGGTGATTGGCCTCAAAAATCGGAGCACCCCTAGAGTGTACAATGCCGTGTTTTGAGTGTGTGGATGTTTCTAAACCTGTTACTTGGTGAAGATGACAGTTGATCACAGAAGGCTGTAAATTTTAAACTTCCCTCAAGGCTGTGTTCTCATTAATGGTGCACAGTGATGATCGGTTAGTGTCATCTCTGATGGATATTTATGAGAGCAGTGACTTGTCGTCTTGTTCCTAAAAAGGTAATCCAGAGTTCAGCAGCATGCCTGTTGTTGTGGGTTTTTCTCTGAGCCTCCCTGTCATGGAAAATCATGATTCATCTCCCTCCACATGCTCGCAGGAAGCATACGCTCCTTCATCCGCTGAAATGTGTTTCTGCCTCACGGTGCATGAGCCACTAGAGTCTGGCAGGAGGCAGATGACCCCAAGCACAGGAATTCCTGATCTCAGAAGAGATTCAGTCTATATCGGTTTGAAACAAAGGAGCCAAGATGCAGCCCTAGAACAGAGAGCTAAGTAGGTCAACAAAATTAAAGAAAAGAGAGGAGAAGGTACGCTTTAGTCAAGTGTCACACACTAATGTTTGTTGTGTGGAGACTGTTATCATTAATAATAGTTTAATATCATATTTTATTATGAGGGTCAAGTATGTAATTTTTGGAAGAGCAGATCGATATCTAATAGTGGAAATAAATTGGAGTGGTGTTTGTTTGTGTGAGAAACAGTTAAAAAATAACAATTATGTTGCCCTTTTAACATCAGAAGTGACTTTGTACAATCACTGTAAAACCTAATAGATTATAGACTATATTCTAAATGGAATACTAGCTTACTTATTGAATTGTGCACTGTATACATACATGCATCATATGTATGTATACTGTATGTGTACACATATACACACTACCCATTATTTTTACAATATTTAAAAATATATATTATTGTTATCTATATATTTCAAAATATAAAGCAGTAAAATTATATGAATTAATTAATTAATTAATTAATTAATAGAATATTAATTATATTTATTTTGCATTTTCAATTACATTTTTTGTGGCTCAGTTAAATTTACATCTGGTTTATCAGTCACACTGGAAATGGAAGTATAAGTTAAGCATTGCATGTTGAAATACGCTATTCCATGTAGTAAGCATTTTAGCAAATGTAGAAGGTCACACAATTAGCATACTTTGCACTGTATACATACTAGATACGACAGCAGTAGTAATAGTTTCTTTCTCTCGCTCTTGAAAACTACACACAACACTTCTTTCTCCCTGTCCTTCCATGTCTTTCTTTTTCTTTCTTTCACTTCATTCCTCATTCCCCCCTCCATCTGTATTTGATCAATAGAGTGTAATTAAAGGAGGGATGAAGCAGGCTCCTGGAGGAACAGCTTGAGTCTGACTCTGTCTCCTCTGACACACTGCTGGCCCTCGTTCATTCTGATGTATAATGTATGCATTATACATAAGCCCTCTCTCTCAACCATAGTCTCTGCAGGAGAACCAAAGACTCCTACTGTTCCTGGTTAGCTTGCAGTGAAGAAAAAGAGGGGTGTAAATGTCTCATTCAACAGCCATGTCTAAAAGACAATCTTTTAATTTGTGAATCACAACTGTCATGCTGTCTTTTTAGATTGATACATCATTGTGCGATACATTATAAACAGTCAGGACAGAAATTGAATGAGCAAATCTTACAGAACAGAATTAATTGTGTTTTAGTAGTTTGTGGTTGGATGGTTCATTCACTCATGAGCGCATTGAGCAGGTCTTTCAGTGGCTTATTAACTTTTTGACATTTCTTTATTGACTAAAAGATGAAGTATGTATATATTAATTATGATAAAATATTATTTTTTATAAAAAAAAATTTAAATATATTTTTAACCCCCCAACACTCTCTCTCTCTCTCTCTCTCTCTATATATATATATATATATATATATATATATACACTGTATATAATTAAAAGTTAAACATTTTAATCAAAATGTATTTAAAATTTTTTTAAAAAACATCACCAAAAAAAATTTATTTTCTTGATGTTTACACAAGAAAATAGAGTTGTTACTCCATTTCAAATGCTTTTCTTTTATCTGTGCAAAACCGTTGCATTTTTAGTTACGGATACAGTTTTCTGTTATCTGTGCAAAACCGTTGCATTTTTAGTTAGGCCCGGATACAGTTGTCTCCCTTGGGGATCGATGATACGGTGATTGATCGTTTAATTGCGGTCCTCCTTGGCTCCTCGGACAGGCAGTCGTTCGCCGAGAAGTCAATGTGTTTTTCTTTTTTTCCGGGCTGCTTGGGCCAGGAACCGGAGGACAGATAATCTATTTGTGCTAATTTCGAGATTCACCCCCCCCCACACACACCCCTTCCTGAATAAGTCATTCCGCTCTGTATCTTCCTCTTGCCATCTCATGTGCTGCGCTCGGCACTTCAGCTCTTCCACATCAGCACATTTCATTGGTCCGGTCATCTGATGTTTCAGCAGTCTTCTGTTCCACATGCTCTTTCACCACAAAACTTAATCTAATCATGTTATAACCTCCTGGCCTCAGATGATTGCAATCCGATTTGCATTTCTCTGATTTTATTTAAAGCGTTTGATTTTGTGCTATTGTTACAGAAATGGAAGAATTCCAGTGCAACTTTTTATATTGGTTGTGTATGTGTGTGTGTATGTGTTTCTAATGTGAGAAACAGAATTGGAGCACAAGAGATCCAAATGATGAAGTGTAATTACACACCCAATTGATTCTGGCACCTCTTTGATCATCCAGTCATCATGTTATTCACAAACGCCGTTTCCAGGCGTCAGCTCAGCCAAGAAAACAATTTAATGTGTAAAAATACACACTTGACCCTGCAGATACATAGCTGTTGTCACTGCATCCCTTGAGCCAACTCAAGAAATGTCCAGTTTATTTTCTCAGTCTCCCAGAATTCACACCCTAAATCAGTCTCTCTCTCTCTCTCTCTCTCAGTATCTCTCTCGCTGTTTAACTCATAAGAGTGCATTAGCTAACTTCTCCTTTCAATGATTTGGGAATTAAACAGTGGTGGACAGTAACAAAGTAGTTTAACTTTGTTACTGTACTTAAGTACATTTTTCAAGTATCTGTACTTTACTGGAGTAGTTTTATTTTGAGTAACTTTTACTTTTACTTCACTACATTCCAAAGCATAAGATCGTACTTTTTACTTCACTGCATTTCATAAAACTTATCGTTACTCCTTATAATATATCAC